GTATTATTTAAGTATTACATTAAAATCATAATTAATTACTGTTGTTTTTTACATTTGCATTACTTATAACATCACATTGGAGATGTTATGATATATAAAAAGTGCACTCTCTGTTATATTACAAGGGTCCTATATATTATTTTTTGGCCTCACTTGCTGAAAGCGAGTGTGGAGGTTATATGATACTATTCTATTTTGATTTTGACCCCACTTGATATATGCATGTGTGGGAGGTTAAAGGCGACATATATAGGTGAAAGTAGAATTATAAGCATATATTATAACATGTATAATATAATCATTCCATCGCATATGTTAATACTTTAATGAATTCAGTATATGTAATATTTTTTGACTATATGTTAGTAATTCTTTAATTTCTTTGTAAATCTTGATGAAATGTGAAAGATAAGTGCAAGTGAGTCTTTGATGATAAGTGTTTTGTAGTGCATGTGAAATATTTGTGAAAGTGGCTTTAAAGATATAAATGAAAACTCTAAAATTAAGCACGCACTAAACCCTCGAGAATCATGTGTTACTAGCATTTTATTTATTCTTTGTAAGTCCTTATATTTTTATTAAACTGCTATTTAGTATTTTAATATACATTAATATATGTGATGAGCTAGTAAGGAAGTCTACAGCATTGGTTGGGCTCATTCTATTAATGTTTTGATATTTTAGAAAAAAGAAAGAGTCCAAATGTGAAGAGATCTCCTTGAATTCGAACAAGTCTTGATCTATGAAAGCTTGTATTTCTTTTAATAAAATTTAATAAACACTTCATTAAATATAATTTTATGTATTTTTTATGTGGTAGTTTGTATAATTTTTATGTTAAAAACTATATATATATTATTTAACTAAGATTTAGCTCTCTTAAAAGTTAAAACTTTCTATTTTACAAACGTAGCTTATCACCATTATTGGAAGAAAAAATATTAGATGCTGACAAAAGATGTATGAAAAACACAAGTATAAAGTGTTAGTTTTGCGAGGAATCAGATTGTGTCGATCAATCGAGTTGTACTGTTGTCTACATGAGACAGAGATTTGAGCGTCGCGACAATGCGAAGCAATTTTTTGCTCTTTTTTTATCATCCATTGGTGGTTGTATTGTATCTCTTGGTTAGTTCTAAGTTGAGAAGAGAGATTTATAATATTTCTCCCAAATTCAAAATATTTTGATTGATAGCTAAAGCACTCACTTTACAGTCTTATCCTTCTTTACCTTCAGGATGGCCTAGAGGTGCAAACGAGTTGAGTCAAGCTCGAGCCAAGGGTGTCCGAGTCGAGCTCGAGTACTGCCAAATACCAAGCCCGAGCTTGACTCGTCTCACATCGAGCGGCTCATTGGGCACCATCCCGAACAGGTTAGTAGTCCGACCGAGCTCCATCGTCGCCATCCCGGCCATTGTCGTCGACATTCTGGCCTCCGTCATCAGTCTCCCTTGCTCCGTCGTCATCCTGAGCTCTATTTTCAGTAATTAGAGGAAAAAAAATTTTGCGCTTTCTGTCAGTCTCCAAATGTTCTTTTCTCTGTTTCGACTTTCCTTTTGTAAGAGCACTGCTATTTTTTTGAATTTGCAGCTCTGCTGCTCAATGGGTCATTTTTGGAATTTATGTATATTGTTCCATGAAATAAGTGCATGGAGTGCTAACAAGGCTTCCTTTGCTCTGCTTCATTTAGATTTAGCTCGAATACTTTTTCTTTAATTGGTCATGATTTATAGTTATTAACCGCATATATTATCTACATTAGTTTTTCTCCTTTCATTTTGTATAGAAGATATGAATACTAATCTTGCATGATTGTATCATTGTTTAGATAAGATCAAATGCTCATATTGTCGAGGTGGCGACAATCATTTTCATACATAAGAATTGACATTATGACATTTATTTGATCATGATTTTTATATTAATATTGTGAAAGATGATATAATTTCCACGAGTAATTTTGAAATTGAAGAAGAACTAAATGAAGAAGCTGAAAAATTTTATAATTTAGGTTTCGTTTGGGACGTCTTTCTTACTGCTTCTTAAAAGTAGCTTCTTAGTACATAAATTTTAATTTTTGTACTAAAAAGCTGCTTTAAAAAACTACTAAAAAAATAGTCATAAACAAAGCCTTTATAGTAAACGTTGATAGACCTTTATAAGAATGTTGTACGGTTCACTCAAAATTATAAAATTGAATTCAATGTATCTAACACTTATCATAATCTCTCTCTCTCTTATTAAATTTATGATGTTAAAAGATGAGACACAAGCAGATGGCATGTTTCAACTTAAAAAAAAAAAAAAAAATTTAAGGAAGTTTGGTCTAAAAGTTGAAAATTTGAGATTTGTTTGGACAATTGTATGTTGTTTTATAAGAAAAATAATAATTTAGGAGATTCTAATGAGTTTGGTCACTCTCACAACAAGCTAAAAAACAATTTTGGTTGTTCACGCAAAGAACTTCCTACGGATAAACTTAGAAACACTCCTACATAGGCTCACATCACCTTACCATTAGGGGGATATTTTTTCGAGTGATTTGACATATAACTAATTTCTTTTGTATGTTTGTGTTGTGGACTAGAATATACGCGGCGATACAGTTAGAAAATTTCTGTCTTAATATTGTACGAATATCTAGCACATAAATATGAGAGAAATAACACTAGGATTTTTACGTGGAAAACCCTGAAAATGGAAAAAATCACGAGGCAATGCCCAGTTGAAATAATTCCACTAGTATTTGTTTGAGGTACAAGAGACTGAATCGTCCTTAAAATTTAGGACGATCATATTACAATGCTTCACTTCCGGATTGAAATCCAATCACAAACAAGTTGTGTATTCGAGTCGAATTCATAATCGCTTAGAATTCCGACGTCACTTGGAGATCAGGCAGAGTTCCGACGTCACTTGGGCGTCGGGCCGATTTCTAGAGTTACTTTGGTGTCGTGCAGAATTCCTGTGTCACTCGGGCGTCGAGCAGAACTCCGGCGGTGGTCGAGGAGTTGTTCCCTCCTATCCTTATCTTAGCTTCTTCTTCTCTTCTTTTTCCTTTTTCTTACTTCTTATTGCTTGGTCCCCTCTCAAGAGAAATGAGGGGTCTATGGCATGACTTGTAAATAGGTGAGAGATTAAGGGTAAATAGGGAGTGGTCGAATGGACGGCCGATATTGCATCCCTTGATCGTGCGTTGTTTGTCAGACATTTGAAGGTCTTAATGATGTCAGAATTCGGCGATCTTGGGCTCGTGGGATTTGTCTCGTTGAGGCGCTCGATTCGATTATAAGAACCTCATATTTGGAAACCGTTTGGTAACTCGAATTATGGTTTGAACTTTCCAACAGCGCTTCGGGCGCTTGATTTGGACTTATTTGAGCTCGGATTGAGTCGAATTTGATGTCGTTGAGTTCGTATTTCCGAGGCACTCAGTTAGACTGTAAGTTCGCTGAAATCGGATTTCAGGTGATCCTGGATTTAATTTTTGAAGTTTCCGGCTCGATTTTTCTTCGAGATTCGTACCCGATCAGGATAATTTTTTGAGATTATATCAATTTGTTTATTTGTTTTATTATATTTCTTTGCATTTTAAGGGCACCATATGAGATGGCTATTATAAAAGATGCATGAGATACGATTATAACAAAGCATCTTTTATACAGTCCGAATATGACAAAATACAAAACAATTGAGTGCAATGTTACGGTTACAAAAGGGCAGAGGGCGCTAAGCCGCTAAGGTGATAACATAAAATCGATTAATGCAAATCTCCTGATAAACCAACAGTTGCAACTATGCATCCATCCGTGTGCCTCTGAAAATAAAGGCAAGAAAGTTAAAAATAACTTCTCCGGAGACGATAGGGGTTAGAACTTCTCTAGTCCAAAAAGAGAGAAATTTTAAGTATGGAGTCGAGAAGAATTATTCGAATATGGAAGTGTATATATATTATATAAACTGTATGTGCATAGATGTGACACATACTGTGTATTTAATGTACACAGTGTGTATACACTCACAGCTCGGATGGTTCTTCCCGTACGAACTCCGCACATAATAATTTCTTCAAAGACTGGATAACATTATAGAAGAGAGAGAAAGAGAGAGTGGGGCTCACAAGACTACGAAAAATTATTACGTCAGGACTCCAATCACGTGAAAACATGTGGATCTTTTTCTTTCTCTTATATAAGAGAGAGAAAGTCCACATGTCTTCACCTTATTAAAGTTATTGTTGCATCGGGACTCCGTACCTAATAACCTGTCCGAGACCAGTAGCAATTTTTTTTTTTTTGGGGAATTTTGGGGCAAGAGCCCATATATTGCTATAAAAAGATTACAAGTAAAAGTGAAAACAGGAAAAGAACAACAAAACTCTTATGTAGGACAAGAAGACAAAATCCCAACTATACCACCCAAATCTTTAAATCAAAAGAAAACTATAAGAGCCAAAATGGTAGTAAGTAAAGAAATCCAGAAAGTAATACTCCCGACCAGCTGAAGCAGTGTCCCAATTCCACGGTACGAGCATGATCAGTACCAAATCCTGCAAAGAAAGATAGCAGAACAAGCTCCCGGGCATGGCAGGCTGTACTCAGTAAATTATAAAAGAAATAAGATAGAACCCAATTACAGAACCCAATTACAAAATCTGATATTTGCACTCAGAATTTAATTTGAGAGATAAAAGCTATATGTTTGAATTAATTTTGATTATAATATTCTAATGTATTTATTTTTGTTATTGTTGACTGTAACTGCTCCCCACCAACAAACCCAAACGGCAGGACGATTTAACCACCGCCATTCACGACACAAAATAAAAACCTTCCCCATTCGGACGGTTAGGCACACTCAGGCACTCAGAAAAGCATAGAGAAGGAAGGAATCAAGTTCAGAAATACCTTGAGGGCTCCCGCTGAACTCTGAACCATTTGCCGGCCTCTGGTTCCCGCTCTCGCAACTTCAAACCCACGGGCGAACGAACAGAAGTCGTCGAACCCGCCGCCGGCCTCCAATCTCCCTACCTATCTTCGGCCAATCGGCCTGATCACCGGTCGAATCCAACCGCGACGTCACCTCTGATTGCTGCATTCGACATCGTGCCCTAGCCTAACCGACAAAGCCACGACTCTGACTCTAAATCAGCCAACCTACCTGCAGCCGCCGGTCCTATCGTCGCCGACATTGATTCCTGCCGTCGTCTTCTCCGGCCAAGCCCGATGCTTGCTCCCGTGCATGGCTTCCGCCTCCAAGCCGAACGGGCTCTGTCCGTCTCTTCCTCTCACTCTCTATATAATATAATATAAGTTATATAATATATATATAATGTTAAGTTATATATATTATATATATAATATCTTATATACATATATATAATATTATATAATATATTAAATTATATATATAATATTATATATTATTAATAAAATAAGATTTTACATGTAATGAAATAAAAGAAAAAGAGAGAGAGATGAGTGAAGAGAAATAAATTGATTTTTCAACAGGTGTCGAAGACCCCGGCCGTCGTACCTTAGGTCCGACCGGGATGGTTGCAAATTGAAGACCTCGTGTCGTCGATCTTAGATCCGGCCGAGATGGTTTTAAAATACAAGACCTCGTACCGTCGATTTCAAATCCGGTCGGGAAGAATTCAAATTGAAGACCTCGTGTCGTCGATCTTAGATCCGACCGAGATGGTTTTAAATTCAAGGCCTCGTGTCGTCGACCTTAGGTCCGACCGGGAAGAAAACTGTCAAGTTGGGTCGACTACCTCCTCTGACTAAGTAGACCAGGGAACATGACAGCCCGGGATGAAGGAACCATGGGATCTTGATCGGGCTCGTCTTCATTCCCCCCACCATCATTTTTAAGTTTGTGGTGATAAATTCTAAATTTCAAATCATTCAAATTCAAAATTTAAACCTTAAAATTATTGCTATTATATTATTAGTTCATAACCTATGTGACATCATTAACGACTAGCCTTAATCGAAAGTTCTCTCTCGTTATCGGGAGGGGTAATTAACTATAGGGGCTTGCGCCTATAGGAAACCAAAACTCAGATCAAAAAGTCCTCACTAAATGAGGGCGAAATCTCTGGATTGTGTCTTATCTAAAACCCAATATGCCTTCTGAAAATTCGTCAGGAACCTAATCTCGTTAAAACTCTCTAATCGTCGTCGTCACACAAACATTTTAAAAGAAAAATTGACGAATGGCATGGAGAGGCCGGGATCACACATACTAAAATGGAGTTTTTGGAGCCCACAGTTATGTAAAGACGTTAAAGTATATATAAAGATGATTAATTATTTAGAATTCTTTTTCAATAGAAAAAAAAACATATTAAAAATATATAAAAAAAAACCTTCATATTAGAATGTAATAATATGAAGCTGTGCTATTTGTTTGATATGTGTGGGCATTTGCAATCGGTCCTGGTCACAAATCTGCTCAGTTGGGCACCATAATCTGCTAGCTGTTGAACTATTTAGGGCTTATTTTTTGCAACAAATTGATGTTGCAAAATATATTTGCATTCAATTAAGGATAGAGAAGGCAAAGATTGTCAAAAGGCTATAGCAAATTAACTACTTTATAGTAATGGATTTTTATAACCCTTATTTTTTGCACAACAATTTTTCCACATGACATTAGATTTAGGTTTTATTTGAGACGATTTTTTTACAAATTCTTAGAACAGCTTTTTTTACAAAAATTTTACAGTTTTCTTATTATTTTTTAAAGCAGTTTTCTAGCACAAAATTTTTTAGGAAAACTGTTTTAAAAAATAGGTAAGAAAGCCATCCCAAATGAAATCTTAATTTTTACGAAGCACTAAAAAAATTTAATTTTCTCGTCTATAAGTGCTAGCAAAAATCATTATTAAAAAAAAAAAAAACCAGAAAACGCATTCATCATTCTGAATAAGCTCATTCATTTATCAATGTCAGCTTCAGTAAGATGATGTGCAGCAAAAATCAAAGCCAAATTTTTAGTGATTATATTCAAAGATTGAAGAAGAGAGACAGCAAAGCTAAAGAACTTGAGCTGGCCAAAACTGCATCCACTTAGATATCTCTTCCTTATTTTGAATCTTCCTAATTCCTCCATAAAACCCATAATTTTCATCACCATCTTCTCTGTGTTCTTTTCTATTTATGGTTTTCCTCCTCCATCTTGATCCAGACGGGTAGTGATTGAACTCCAACACAATGGTTTCTGCATTACAAGGTGTTAAAATATCCATTGTTATCAATACCAAGAAAATATACAACAATTTTAGCGAATATGTTGGTGAAAAGGAAACAAAAAGAAGATATTACTCTTCTTATAGTGAAATTCACTTCTCATTCAGGTTCAGCAAGTCAGGCTTCATTTGGGACGGCTTTCTTCCTGCTTCTTAAAGCTGCTTCCAAGTACAAAATTAAAACTTTTGTATTAAAAAGTTGCTTTAAGAAGCAACAAGAAAGTCATCCCAAACGAAACCTTAGTCAACAAAAAGTAATTATATAGAATCATTTTTGGCTTGTTGCTCGTCATTCTAGCAGAGTAGGATGTTGGTTGTACTATCTCTCTTTGTCAAGAAATTACTCAGCCTACTCGTGCTAGAGAGTACAAGTGATTGATATCTCAGATAAGAGAAATGCTATCCTGAAGAGGAAAAAATATGGCTTAACAAGTGGTTGGACCTCAACCATGATTGGGTACCCATGAAGAAGAAAATCAATAATCTCTACTTGATGCGAGCTCTGGAGTTAGGAACTTTTGTCAAATATGTTTTAGGTTAAAAAACATGTAGTGCAAATGGTTAGTCATTATCTATTGGCTTAAATTTTTTAGTTAAAAAAAGGTTTGATAGTTGGGTGTATTTTAGCCCAACTGTTACTACCTTTAATTGAAATCCTTAAGAAGTGTCATCAGAGCTAATGATTCAGAATGGATTGAATAACTCATGGGGTGATTGATTAAGGCTATTTGTTTAATCCTACATCAGAGGAGTAAAAAAATACTGTTATAAATTTATCAAGTGACTGAACCTCACACATATGCTTAAGCTTTTGGATTTAAATAAATTTAATCATTAATATTTCTGACCAAACTTTGATCATTTCAAAATTTTCCAATGAAATATTTTTGTGAAATGTGAGTTAAATGCCTGTATGTGCATACAAACATCATATGCCTTGATAAAGGAAAAAAATATAGTATAACTTGACAAATGAACTAGTACCACTTGAGTCACAACAACAGCGATGATCACTTCTGTCACACATCTCCAAATGCCCAATAACTCCATACCACCAACCTGCCCAATAAATGGAAGCAAAAGATAAGGGCTAATTTATTTAGGCTTCCTTTAAATCAGCTTTTTAATTTTATACTAAAAAACTGTTTTAAGAAGCCAATCCCAAATAAAGCCTTAATGTGGACTTCTTGTGCTGAGTTATAAGATAAATCTGCCTGAAATATGGACCATGTTTATATATATAAAAGATTTCAATGCTGAAAGAGCTGAAAATTTTTCGAACTTCTGAGATATTACCGTATGGGAACTCTTTGCTCCTTCTCCATTGAATTTCAAAATGATCACCAGGACGCAAGTCAGTTAAACAGTCTGAGATGTGAAGCTCATTTGCTGAAGTAACAACTGAAGGAGCTCTTGTTCTCTCCCATGGCACTTCCTCTATAGCTGGAATTCTTTTTCCATGTGGTGGATACCTATATTAAGTAAAAAAAGGAAAGTTTTAGAACAAATACTATATATATATTACCCTTACCCACTACTGGCTAGTTGCATACCTTGCAAAAAACTTGTTTGTACGAGCATTGTAACTAATCTCTGCATCATAGCAAGACATAAAAAATCCTGTATGTCCGTTCTGCATAAGAAGAGTATCAGAAAACAAGACATTAGTACAAACTAAATACTAAGCGAGCTATTTTATACGATCTTAAGGTAAATTTAGGCAATAAAAAAGTGACTTAAGGATAAATTCAGACTTCATTTGAGACGGATTTTGTTGCTTCTTAAAGCAATTTTTAGTAAAAAATTAAAATTTTTATACTAGAATTCTGCATTAAGAAGAAACAAGAAAGCCATCCCAAATGAATCCTCAGTGTTATGCTAAAAAGCTGCTTTTAAATTTGAATGGCTACAGAAACAAATATAATTATGTAAAGGTGTTATGCTAAAAAGGAAAAAAAAAAAAAGATGAACCCAAGTTAAATTGGGAACTCTTATACATAAGAAACAAGGATTAGATTTCAATAAATCAATACCTCACGATTATAAACCTGAGCTGTAAAGGAGAATCGACCACTCTCAAGCGCCAGATAGAATGAAACAAGTGAAGAATCAGGTGGAGAGCTTCTCCAACCATTTCTCCGACTTTCAATCTTGCGCTTGAGCCATGAAAGAGGCCACAAACAAGCCAATCTCCCCATCCACACCTTCCACTTAACTCTACCAGTTTCGCCTCTAATGTTAATATCTCTCCTTTCTGCAACCTGCAACTTCCACTCCCTCCGGGCTGCTTCTCCAATCACCCTGTTCCATTTCTCCCTCATATGCCTCTCCCAGAGTTCGTCACGCCTGCATCTCTCCTTCAAAGACCTGCAAACGCAAGCCATATTGCAGAGCTCCGAAGGCGATAGCTTTTTCAGAATACAATCCAATGGCAGCTCTGGAAGATCAAGGACCGTCATTTTCCCTGAGGCAGTTTCATGTAAACCAATATCATCAAAGTTGCTTTCTTTTTTGGAAGGCATTGGTTTTAGGGATTTGTGGGTTTGGGGCATCGAAATACTCCAGTTCTTGATGCCTTCTATGGAATGGGAGATGAATTCTTGGCAAAGTAAAAGTGTGAGAAGTAAAATTTCGCGGAAGAAGAAAGGAAAGAAGGGATTTTTAGGTACATGGTTGACGGGAAGAAGCAGGAAGGGAAGGAGGGGTTTGAGGATGAAATAAACCATCCCTGCAAGCAGGAAAGTATTGTTACTTGTAAGCAGTGGAGACTGGAGAGGGAGAGAGAGAGAGTACGAATTCATGAATCCCGTCGCTTTGGGAGTAGGGTGTTGAAATAAATAAGGTTTCGAGAGGGAAAAAGACTCGTAGAGGTAGGAGGCCTAATTACTACCTAAAGATATGATTTGAACGCCACAAATGAAGTAACAGTAATAAATTCGTAAACAGCCAACTAACCACATATTCAATGAGTTAACAGCTTTAGAGTTTCATTTATTATTATTATTATTATTATTATTATTAGGACAAATAGATCAATTAATTTAAACTCATACATATATATCATATACTTTAGAGTGGAACCCAAAATTTTTTGATTGATAGTCAAAGCTCCCAACCAACAGATCAAAATGAACTTGACACCGTTAATTAATTTTAATAAATAAATTAAACATTATGATATGACATTAAGAGCTAATTTATAGGGTTGCGAAAGGACCGATTGTGTGACTAATTGCTTGTGGCTTGGCTTCATTATATCTTATTCTTAATCGTTTGACCATGTAAATATGTAATCAAATAAGTTTGAATATGTTTTTTTTTTTAAAAAAAAGTTTGATCAATCATATGATTGACTCGTTTATGTTCTTGAATGACACAGTTTAAGGCTTGTTATTGGCTTTAATGTTTGCAAGGCTGTTAAGTATTTTTTCTCTTCTGGATTCCTCCCGAAGAAAGCCAAAGGGACTGCCATTGTTCTTATTCCGAAACAATCTCATGGTTCTAGCATCAATGACTATAGGCCCATCTCTCTTTGTAATGTTTTTTATAAAATCATTGCAAAAATTATTGCTAATCGTATGAAGACCATTATGCCTTTCATCATTCACAAGAGCCAAGCTGGTTTTATTCAGAACAGAATTGCAACTGATAATATTATCCTTGCCAATGAAATCTTGAGGGAGTTCAATTCTAATGCTAGAGAGAAATTCTTTTGTGCTAAGTTGGATATCAAAAAGGCGTTTGACATGGTTTCTAGAGAGTTTCTTCTTTCTAGATTACGCATTAAGGGATTTCCTGAGAAATTCATTACCTGGATTATGGGATGTATCCTTGATGTTCCCTTCTCTGTGTGTATTAATGGTGCACTTGAAGGTTTTTTCATTTCTTCTTCCGGGTTGAGACAAGGTTGCCCTCTCTCACCCCTTCTTTTTGCTATCATCATGGATGCCTTCTCTTGTGCTTTAGACTATGGCAATTTCTCTGGCATGGCTTGTGATCCCTATCATATCAGTCACCTTCTTTATGCTGATGATGTCTTGATTTTTGGAAAAGCTTCTATTTGCAATGCTTTAGCCTTAAATGACACTCTTAATGCTTTTGCCAACTCTTCTGGAGTTTACATTAACAAGGCTAAATGCTCTATCATTTTTTCCAATAACTCTTTGCTCTCCAACATTATTAATGACATTCTTGGCTTCACTTTGGCTGATCACACATTGAAATATCTTGGCTTACCCATATCCACCAGAAATCTTTCGTCCACTCACTTCCACCCACTACTGAGTAAAATTTCTACTCTACTTGATGGGTGGAAAGTAAAGTTTTTGTCTTTTGCAGGTAGGGTCCAATTCTTGAAGTTTACCATTTCCAATACTTTGGCTTATTGGATTAGAGGGGCCATTTTGCCTAAGTTCAGTCGGAAGATCATTAACAAACTATGCTCTAGATTTCTTTTCCATGGTAACACGACGGATAAAAAGCTCCATCTCATTGCTTGGGCCAAAACATGTTTACCAACTATTTTTGGCGGTTTGGGCATTCCTGATTTCAATTCTTTATACCATGGTTTTGGATGCTCATTTATCTGGAGGTTTTTTAACAATGACTGTTTAGTTGGTGATTGGTTTAGATTTAAATTTCATTCACCTTGGAAGCCTCCACCGTCTAGAGCTTCGAAATACTGGAAATACATTTGTTTCACTGCAACTAATATCAAACCCGTCATTCAGCTTAATGTCACGGCTTCCAACTGTAATCTCTCTCTGTTTTGGGATCCGTGGATAAATGGGGTTGCTCTTGCTGAAATTACTCATATTTCTACCTCTGCTTCTATGCCTGTGAAGAATGTCATTTCTCAAGGTCACTGGAGACTAGGTGATTACATTCCAAATCATATTTTGCCTATAATTTTACAGATTAAGATTTTGGATAGCCAGTCCAAAACGTTGGCTTGGAAGGGTAATGAGAAACCTTGCTTTAAAACCTTCAAACTACAGTATTTTTCTAATTTACATCCAATTCCATGGTATAGTCTGGTATGGCATAAAAGGTATACACTAAGGCACTCTACTTTTACCTGGTTAGCTATTTGTGGTGGATTAAAAACTGCGGATGTGCTGTGCAAACGTAACATTCTCATTGATTCTATTTGCCCTCTTTGCTCTAGAGAATATGAAAGCTCTTCCCATCTGCTGTTTCAATGTGACCTTTCTTTTACTGTATTATCCACTCTGCTGCCTCATATGGACGGTTTCCTCTTTCGTCCAAATTTACTACAGCTATTTGATCATTTTGATGGAATGCAATCCCTATCTGCTTTGGACAAAAATTTCTGTTATTGGATTATTTGTTGTGCGGTTTATTATCTGTGGAGAGCAAGGAATGATAAGCGTTTTGTTGGTAGGAATTGTAATGCCCAAGTTGTCAGCTGTAACATCAAGAAAGCTATTAGTGCTAAGGTTATTAGATGGAAAAATTACCACAAGCTTCTCTCCTCTTTTTCTGGCTGCTTCGATGGGAATTCTGGCTATTCTGAGAATTTATTTTTTGGGCAATGATGAGTTGGATCCAACTGATCAACCCCCTGGACGGTCAAGGTTTCTCTGTTCTGCTTCGGTCCGCCTAGCACCGTATTCTGGCCCGGCAATTTTTGCTCCCTACGGCTGCTTTTCGACTCTTGGCAACCGGGGGTTTTTTGCTAATCGAGAAGGTTTTTATACAGGTTCCTATACCTGATTCTGTTGGTTCCATTTGAACCTGAGCCCAAGTCCATTTTCTGGACAATTTTGCCTGTTTTTTACTGTTATTGGGTCTTGTTTTTTGGTTATTCCATGTTTTTGGCTCCCACTGTTGGTTGAGCTTTTGGTGTTTTTTGTTCATTTTGTAACTTTTCTAGATTAATATACGGGTCAAGCCCAAATTTTCCCCAAAAAAAAAAAAGTGGTGAGAGATGGAAGGTCGACGAAACAGGGCGCCTGAGTATATAATTATGAAGTGCGGCATTCATTTCTGTCTGTGTTGTGTAATGTTAGACGTACAGCTGTAGCTAAATCAGATTTTAGTTTTTGTTTTTTTTTTACAAGATGCGAATAGCATTAATATAAAATATATCTAATACAACTTATTAAAGGATAGAAAATTTATTACGCTTATTCTTTAATAAAAAAATAAAGAAAAGATGAACATTATTATAATTAATATCATCTCAAATAAAATCACTAAAATTATCATAATTAGCACACAAATTAGTTACTTTATTAGAACTATTAAAAATAAATAAATAAAAATTGATTGAACTTTTCTAAAAATGAAAAATCCTTTGTATCCAAAATTTCATTCTTCCGAATGGACTTATCCAAATAGCTTGGAAGAAACTTGATAATATTGTAATTATCTTCTTCAATGATTATACTTACAGCTTCAAATATCTAATCTTGCAAAACTTTCTTCGAGCTTATCTCAAATAAAAGGATTTGTTTATGTTAACCTCTCCAAATTCATAGAACAATTCGCAAAAGAATAGAAGAATGTAACTTGAAAACCTCATTTATTCAGATACATTATAACTTAAATAAGCTTGAAGCAGTGAACTACTATGATCTGACATTTCAGCAGAAAGACAACCTCTTAGACAAGCATTGTAATCTAATAACCTTATGTACAATTCGAAGGGATTGCATTATTCATTAAACACCACCAGAATAACACAACACGAGGAATAATATTCAGCCTTTAATCCATTTCCAATAATTATCTTCTAGAGATTCTTTGACCAAAGCCTCAGATGCCAATGTTGTTATGGATTTTCTGATAGTTTTGTTATAAGCTCAAACCAATCATATAGTGAATACGAAGAAATATGAATTTGCTTACTAATATTAATCAATTGTTTACAAAGAATTTTCCAAGCTGAACATCATTCCATTTTCATCCAAAATAAATTTGTCTAGAGAAGGAATACATCATTCAAGTCCGCAATAAATGTTGGTCTTCTATCAATTATTCTATCAAAATCCATACATCCTTTATGATATTAATAATTGCATCATTTGATACTTTCCATCTTATAATTGGACTAAGAAATTTTGCACCATTAATAATAATCCTCCACTTTGTTGAATTAACTTTCTTTATTTAAAAATTCCAAATATTATTGTCATATTTTGCAATTAGGTTTCTATTAAGAAGATAACCTGATTTTTTAGTAAACTTTTAAGCCAATTTTGCATGCATTGGACCTACCCTGGAAGCAACTGAGTGCAGCCCACGACCACTCTTGTTCTTAGCCTTACATAAAAAATCACAAGTAATATAATGAAGACTTTTATTGCCATTTTGTTTATGCCAGATAAAATTTCAGCACATTTTATAAAAATTATCCAATAGTCTCATAGGAATCGATGAGTGAGTAGAGAGAAATATAGGAAAAGAAAGAAAAGCCAATTTCACAAGAACAAGCCACACTGCTAAAGAAATAAATCTATTTCCCCAAGCATTCAATCTATTTAATGCTTTCTACAACAAATTCTGAAAATCTGCAAAAAAAGTATCCTTAATGCAATTTTAACACCAAGCTACTTCATCTCATTCACAATTCTGAAGCCCAATAATTTTTAAAGAACTTTCTTCCTTTTCCTTTTAACTGATTTGCCAAGTAAAATAGAAGAATTATGAATATTTACATTTTGCCCATACCACTTGCAATAGTAATTAAAAATCCCGTTCGCTTTCTTCACACTCTTAGAGTTTGCTTCAAAAAATATAAGAATATTTTCTGCATAAAGTAAATGAGAAACCTTTTGTGCTTTTGGA